AGTTGCTTCAGCCTCTACTACCTGCTGCTTGACACCTCACACCCCCCTTTCACATCCCAAAGGCTGTGTAACACAGGATTCCAAGTGGATGGCATTCTAAAGAACGGAATGTTCAAATGCCTGCATGTAGTACAGACATGGCAAGGTACAGCAGAGACCAGTTTGCTTATGAAACACTAGGAGAGGCGTTGAGTCTTTTATCCATATACAATAAATTTTACCTGCCATCATTGGACAAAACCAACTCTTGATTAAAATACATGCATGGAATAACTTGATTAACCTATGAATTTCTGTCTAATTAGTATTTTTAGCAGGAGATGCCTAGACACCAGTCTTGTAACCATATTTGTAATAGGGTGATTTTTCTCATGCATTTGAGTTCCTAATGATTTTATGAAGGCTAGCATCTACATGGAAATTGCATTAATTATCAGTATTTCACACTATTGGAAAGTAGATTAATAATTACTCTATAGGAAATCTATGTTGAGTGTCTTATTTCTGGTTTGTCATCTTGCTATTCTCCATGTAACTTAAAGCATTACTTCCTCTATTTTCAGAGAGATTCTGGATTGTTCTGCAGAAAGGCAACAAACTGAAAATGACAGAAGGCATGAAAGAATAAAGGAAAGATTAAGAATTTTCTCATATGACAACAATTCCTCTGATCAATGTATGTATGGAGACCCAGGATCAATTTGCAATTTCGTCCAACCATGGGGAAAATTTCCTTTAATGGCATTAGATAAATGGATGACTGTTCTCAATCAAGGCAACTCTGGTAGCAGTATGGAAAACATACTGGATTTTTTTTTTTTTTTTTTTTTTTTTTTTTTTTTTTTTTTTTTTTTTTTTTTTTTTTAGGTTTTTCGAGACAGGGTTTCTCTGTGTAGTTTTGCACCTTTCCTGGAACTCATTTTGTAGACCAGGCTGGCCTCAAACTCACAGAGATCCGCCTGCCTCTGCCTCCCGAGTGTTGGGATTAAAGGCGTGCGCCACCACCCCCCGGCACATACTGGATTCTTAACTTTAGCTTTGTTAGTTCATCTCCCCATTCTACTTAGATAGAAAACTATTGATGTATTCAAATAAACCAAAAAGTTAGTAATTTACCTCATGAACACAAGAAAAAAAATTCAGGCCCCGTTAGGCTCTTCTGGATGCTAACAAGGAGTCTACCCCCGACCTACATCTCAAGCCCAAACAACAAGTTTCAATACAGCTTGACTGCAGCCAATAATATTAGGAGAAATGGTACAAAGGAAAGAACAATGGCAAAGAAAGAGAGAAGAGTAATTATTAACTGTCAATAAATAGCAGAGCTATAGTTCTCTCTGATCAGAATGCTGACATTAGGAAGATCCAAGCCAAGAGCAATTGCAAACAAACAAAAGACTTTGGCATTTGGTTGAAATCTATAACCTAAAAATTACCAAATGAGCAATATCTGTGTAGTTATGAATTTCTGACTCCTCAAGGGTTCACTGCAAGATGAGGAGAGACAGTACTATGGGTATGACAAGGGTCTTTTGGAGTATATGACATCCATCTATGATGAAAGGATACATTATACATATAATTCAGTGTTTCTTCATGCCTTTCTATTTCCATCTTATCGTGACCCACTGAAGAAGACATGTTAATGGAGATTTGAGACATTCACAGATTTTGTGGAGTAAAACACCAAACTACTGATGACTTGCATACATTCCCACATGTGTCATAGAATTTAACTCTTTAGTCATTTTCTATTGATTATGAGACATAAACCAAATCTCTGTTAGAGACCATGTTTGCTTTCATATTACACATTTGGGATCAAGAGTCATGGATTAAAATCATGGTCCCTTTTATTTCTTGGACTCTGTGATCATCATTAAAAGGCTAGCTATATAACTTCATCCTTAGGACTTAGACAAGAGTTTTATGAGACAATAAAAATATACAAATCGGTTAGAGACCTGGAAGACCACAAAACAATGAAATAAATCAGGGAGAAGAGTACCTTAAGGACAATGCTTCAGGCTTGAATGTGAGGTGGATGGTGGGCTATTCTCAATGGAGACATAATATTTTGTTCAAATGAGCTAAATGCATTCTAGTGGAAGCTAAGAAAAAGAGCTAGGTATGAAGGCTGAAGGGCAGAATGAGACAAACAGGTAAAGCATCAGGGACTTTGCAAAATGCAAGAGACAGTTAAAGTCATGCTGCTGAGTGGTCCATGGACTAGCTATGGAATCTTCTCAGAAAAGCCTCTTAGAAACACAACATGCAGACTCATTGGATCAGAACCTGCATTATGTCAAGACTAGGGTTAATTAATTTCCAATTAAAGTGTCAGTCTCAGATGCAATGTATTAGAGGATGCCTAAACCAAACCCAGCCTTTGAGTCAACTCAGAGAAGGTGTCTGCCCATAAAACATTACTTAGTGCTGACTTCTAGATGAAAATAACAGGCATGGAAATTATAACAAAACCATTAACTCTGTTGCCTATTATTTTTAAGGGATAATGGGGAAATTCAGAAGAGGATAATTAAAACAGTTAGGAGATGGGAGGCCAGAGTAGAGGATAGAGTGTGGAGTGGGATAACTAAGGGATTTTTAATATCTACATGAAATTTACTACTGTACAAGGTTCATTGTGTGTGTGTGTGTGTGTGTGTGTGTGTGTGTGTGTGTGTGTGTGTGTGTGTGTGTGTGTGTGTGTGTGTAATTTAAATGGAGTTGCCATATAATGGAAGAAAAAATATCTCAACTAGAAATCATATGCTACCCAATAAATCCCACAATACCAGAAGTGAGTTACATCTTTTCGAGTCATTGCCCAAAGAGGCTCCTTATATCCCCCACAAACTACAGGCTATCACCGATGCTATTGATTATCCTTGGTTATTGGTTATTGCTGATAAGACCCTTTTGCTGAAGAAACCACATACTTACAGTAATGAACATGGAGAAATATAGCTGGTACTGAACTGGAAGTTTCACCTGTACTGGCTATCACTAATAGTACTAGAAGGTTCTACTAGAGGAGAAAATTAATCAACAATCTCATCCATCTAGGAACACTGAGCTGTGAGCTATAATGACAGCCTGCCTGAAATCTATGCCTACTGATATAATAGTGGCACCAATGGTAGGGGACTAACCAATCACTTTTTTAAAAAAATTGGATTTAAGTCCAAGTTTGTGAGATGAAACCCATATACTATGCTGTTAATGATGCAAAGAACTTGAAAACTATATAGGTCATTGGCTCAAGGGATATTATTTTGGCAAATGAATATAGTGATAAAATAACTCCTAATGACACATTGCTATACCCATAGATCAGTGCATTGCCTCCAATTCTCCAATTTTGAAACTGCAGAAGTCCTTGGCTTGGGCTGCTCTTACAGAACACCCTGTGTATTTTCTTTTGGAAAATGTCTACAGGGTCTAGATTACAGCATTTCACCATGGTCATGCTGGAAATTTTACTACTTACAGCTCTGAAAGTCTTCATAGGCTATCTGTCCTCTTATCAATATTTGAAAACTCGTATCTTGCAACCCAAATACAAGTCGGATGGGAAGGATATCTGATAAGGTTGTTTCCTACCTTAAGCCTCATGAGTCATTTCTGGTGAAGATTTCACTCTCATCATTTCCAGGAATGAGCCCCTATACTCTACCTTAGACTGAGATTCATCCTTATCATCTATATAACCAAGAGACTCTCACTTGCAGATAATGCCTGTAAAGCATTTTACCAGCACACTGCTTAATATCCAAGGAAAATGCAATAATGGAAGCCATTAAAACTAGCATTATTGCCATGATGATTACTTCTTTTTCATGTTTACTTCATTAGGTCCCATAAGAGGGAATATGAGAGGTGAATCAGATTTGATAGTTCCTTTACTCACCAAAACTAATGCTTTTAAGTATTTTAACCACAGAGAAAGAATGAAGAGGAAATGAAGTAATATAAAAAAAAAAAGCAAAAATAATACAAAGGAGTGAAGGAAGAAAACAATTGTATGTCTGGAGAAGACTGTGGGAATTTCAGAGGAGAAATCCTCAGTGGCCCCAGCAGGGGCCATAAGCACTCTGAAAATGCCTCCATTGCTTGCACTGCTAAGCCCTGCACTCACAGCTTCAGGTGCTCTGAGACCTGGATCTCACCCTTTACAGAATTAAAGTCCCTCAGTCATCCCCATGCAGACGAAACAGCTGAGTTTCTTCCTAGAAAAATCTCTAAGTATCTGTGCCTGTCTGGTTGGTACTTAGGACATTCATTAAATACTGTATCTTGGGAAATAAAGCAGTGGATTTTTGTCAAAAGCATTTTAAATTTTCTGAATCTAGAAAAATCTTTCATTTCAGGAATATGTTCATGTGTTCTACAGATACTTAGTTTCCTGTTATAAAGCATCTTGGTGCTATGCAATTGGGCAGAACATAAATGCTGGCTTGGGCCTATGCTACAGTAATATATAAACCAATATGCCAGGACAGTGGATAGGGATTATGTTTCAGCACTGAGGAGATCTGTATCGGTGAAAAGTGCATCTTCTACATTTAAATATGACCTGGCCCTGGCCATCTTCCTATATAATAAAGCATTGACAAAGGTATTCTTTTGTTTATGTTATTTGCTTACTAATACTACACATATCTTGAGGGTTAATGTGTATGATTTGAAGAGACTTCTTTTCTTCTTCACCTACAATCTAACCAGACTTACACATTTATTTCATGGATGTGCTTTAATACTAAAGAAAGCACTATATGCTACCACTAAAAGCTGAAATAAATCAAGATGTTTTGAAGTAGAATCACAGAGTCTGGCCAACAGTTTGTTGGCCCTTGTGTTCCAGTTCAGCCAAGAGTACCTAAAGCTGGTCATCCAGCTTCTTAGGGTCAATTGCAGAAACAACCCTGGAGTGTGAAGTGCATGTCTTGCATTGGAACCTCATGCATATGATAAGCAGAATATGAAATAGTACTCACCACCAGAGTGTGGTGGGGGTCCACAGAGGAGGACCACCCCCTGACCTTCACGGACTGATACTGTGCTTCTCATTCTGGTCTTAAAATTTTCAAGATCTAATAAAAAAAGAAAAGAAGAAGAACATTTCAGAATGAAAAACAACATGTTCTCTTTCTTTGGAGACAAATTTCAAATCTCTCCCAAGGAACCCCAAGAGAATGTTTACATTCAGGAAGAAAGGTAGGATTTGATGTCTTTATGAAGCCTTCTTGGAAATCAGGTGTATAAATACAATACAAATATGTGTCCATTGATCCTTTGTTGCTGTAACGGGATTGCAATGTTCTGGGGCCTCCAAAATAGCAAAGTGTACCTGAGAATAAAATAACCACATAATATGATTCAATGAAAATAAATGGAGTATCCTGCCAGGTAAATTTGATGGCCAGATCCACCCCAGTAACTCACTACATCCTAAAGACAGTGAACCCCACTATCTGACTATCCACACCCAAACTCCTACCTTATAATATCTGATCATAAGCATCATGTATAAACATTATTCTCTACCTGTAATTATTTCACTTTATTGAACAACTTAAAAATAGATAGTTTCCAGGTAGCAGTCTGATTAATGTCATGAAGGGCTGTGTGGAAAGTGCATAAGTAGAACTTAGAACACAGCAATAAATTAAATGAATATGCCTATTTTTATTTATAGCTGCAAAAAATACTAGTTATTTCTATAATAACCCAAAGGATGACTTTCAAGAATTCAATAATGTGTTTTTAAAAAATCAATCAATGGCAAATACTATTTTTATTATTAGCAGTAATTTTTTAGTAAAAGCATAATTTCTTCCAATAACAACTCAAGATAACACATATAGATTTAGACTTCCTAGCTTAACTGACCACAGAGCAAAAGAACTATCGACTTCCTTTTTTAAATAGCCTAAGTCTATACAAATTGTTATTCTTTATCTGTGTTCCAATCAAATACCACAATAAACTCATTGACTCACTAGAAAATACAATGCTTAATTAAGTCTACACAGTAAATGGAAGAAAGATCTGTTTCTCTAACTTCAAATAAAAATGTTTGAGAATTACACAGTTTACCATCTATATATGAAAAATTGCACTACACACATACACATTAACACACACACATACCCCCCACACACACTTAGCTCTTAAGCATTTAATAAAATGTGTAAGAGTGTACATTGCAATATATAACAGAACATATCTTTGGGAATAAAATTCAGAAAACTTCAACTTTCCTTTGAAAAACATAAAAAGACAAGGCCTTTTTTTCAAATTGATAAAGCCTTAATCTATAGACATTTAGAAGTATTCCAAGCACCATAAATCAGTACAGCAAGCAAATGAATTCTTGTATTTACGATTTTTTTCTTTTCTTTTCTTTTCTTTTCTTTTACAATATAATTTAATTCTACATATCAAACACTGATTCCCCTGTTCTCCCCCATTCCGGCCCCCTCTCCTTCCCACCAGCCCACCCCCCATTCCCATCTCCTCCAGGGCAAAGACTCCCCCGAGGATTGAGATCAACCTGGTAGACTCAGTCCAGGCAGGTCCAGTCCTTTCCTCCCAGGCTGAGCTAAGCGTCCCTGCATAAGCCCCAGGTTTCAAACAGCTATTGAGATGTAGTATTGATCTTACAGTGGAGGATGTCACCAAAGTGAACCAGTGCAACCAGAAAAGAAGTGAATTTAAGTATTCATTTTCATTAGAAGCTAGTCTACAGAAAAAAAAGATATCATAACTTCTTAAAGCAGTAATGATAAAAGATTCCTAAAATGCCAAAACTCCTGTAGCATGAGTTGTAACTAGAATGCTGAACCATTTAAATATTTAAATGTTAAGTAAGAATGAAATCTACTCACAGAAAAGGAATTTTCAAAGATGCTTCTTTAGGGATCTAGAGTAGATGTCATTATTGCTCCTTTACCTTACAATCCTTGTTTTCTTCTACTACGTAATTTTATACCTCTGAAATTTTTAATATTCTAATTTTGTTCATCTATAGTACTTATATGGAGCTGTGCACATGTCTAGGTAGAGAAGTGGAGTCAGGAGACTAATTTTCTAGCTGGTTTTCCCCTTTCACCTTGGGATCAAACTCAGACCCAATGTCCTTTCACTTGAGAGATTTTTACCACAGATTTTCAGGCTTGCAAGGCAAGTGGTTTTACCAACTGAGTCTTCGCACCAACATGACTTGGGAGCTCTTTAGTCACTGATTTTAGCCAGCAAGCAAGCACACAATAATGAATGAATGAGACAAACAAGTAGGAAAGAAAGAAAGAAGAAAGGTAATTCTATAAAAAGCAATTTCTCTTCTATAGGTAAAAGTATCTTTTGCTTACACTCAAATACTGTTTAGCTCAGATTGGCCTCATATTTGTACATTCTACTATAAAGGAGAGTAAAGAGACATTGCCTTTAATTCCTGATCTGGCTAGTTCATGGGGCGTTAGCATTAGCCCTATCAAAGAAAAGTAATTACACTGGCTCCAATGTGTCTACCAGAGCATCAGTGACAGCAAGGCTCTGTGACTCCAATGGAGGTTTTCCCCGACAACAGCATCTCCTCAATGTGTCTTAAATTTCCCAATTATCATTACTACCAGGGATATTTATTTCAAAATGTAGGTATCTGAAAATCACTTAAAATTAGCAAGTTAAGATGCCTAATAATCTCACTACTTGAACTTCAAACATACTAATATGACTGTGGTTTCCTATGAACCTGTATAAGACTTGGTCCAAATTAAATATCTCAATTGTTAAAGAATTAATGAAATTGCCTATGATATAAATAGTGTGACAAGAGGGTATAGCAGATAATTAAGTGTCATGAAGACTTGATGCTCTTTGCTGAAGACCTGGGTTCAGTTCCTAAGCACCCACACAGCAGATCATAAATTCTGTAACTCCAGTTCAATGGGATCTACTCTGCTGGCACTGCATGTACATGACACACATAAATACACACAGGGAAAGCATCCACACACACAAACAATAACAATAACTAATTTTTATGTGTCAAGAATTCACTGAACGTCAAGGATGTTTATGCATGGACACTTAAATAAATGTATGAGAGATGCATCAAAGAGTAGGACACAGCTGGGTGATGCAGGATGGTAAGTACTAACAGGTGTGCAGATAACTCATAGTGGTTTTAATTTGTATCACCTTAAAAGCAAATGATGATGAGATTCTCTCCATGTGCTTATATTTCATCTATATATTATCTCTAGTGAAGTGTCAGTTTATGTCTTTTGTCTACTTTCTAATTGTCTACTTTCTACTACTGAGTTTTGAGCAGTCTTGTTTATTCTGGATGTATTTTCTTTATTAAAGGCATGGTTTGTATATATTTTCTCAGGTTGACCGAAAGCATGAATGCATAAAAACATGCATGCCATAGGTAAATGCAAAAAAAAAAAAAAGAAAAGAAAAGAAATAAAAGGAAGGCATGGCTGCTTCTAGGTGTGGTGGTGGAGAATGGTTATTGTAGATATGAGGGGGAACATAACCAGAGGCATCTGGAAGGGTTCAGCCTGAACATGACTGGCCAACTGTGTCCAACTATATGAGGAGAGGTGGAAGTGGAGAGAGGAGAGGAAGAGAGAACCCTGAGTGGCAGCCAAGGGCAAGAAGCCAAAGGCCAAAAGGGATGGTAGCAAAATTTCTGAGATTATAGAGAAGAGCAGTGGCAGAGGGGCAGCCCAACACTGTAGAAGACTCTGTAACAGGTAGGGACTGAGGGATGTTGGTAGAACCCAGCAGCCAGCTTCTGTCCGCTTTGATATGATAATCAGTTAGCCATTTGTTGAGAGTTTGAGACTTAACATTAGTCAAGGTACAGAGTTTCTTTCTTTTGTTGAGATTCCAGGGGACATGGGAGAAGGGAAAATCTCCTGAAGGTTGATCTTGGTTGAATGTGCCTGGAAACAACTAAGAAACAAAATGTTGGGTGGGTCTATGGGTGGGAGCATCTCTGTCAGCCTAGATATAAAGAGGTCTGAGGGGGATACAGCACTGTTTTTGACTTCCCACCTTCACTCTTAGCTGATGGGGTCACCTTGTTGTTGCCACTGTTGCCTCTTGACATTGGAATCCAGCTTCTTTGTCTTTCCAACGAGGACTGAGAATCAGCAACTTCTCTAGAAATCTTTTGAGTCTTTAGCACCAGGATGATCAGACAGTTGTGACATCCACACTCATGGTAAGAGCAACTACTGAGTTCTCAGTCTGTCCAGTGTACAGACAGACAGCCATTGCTGGACTACTCAACCCAACTGTTTAAGCCAATCTGACAAATCCTTTTTTAATATATACTTACTCTATCAATTGTGCTCCTCTAGAGAACACCAACAATTATGACCCCTAAAGCAAAAACTTGCTTTTGAAAGAAGTACAAAATTATTTATTTGGAAAAATGCCAGGCTTGGGAACTTATAGAGACATGAAATTTTCTCCAGTGCCTTGAGTTACTGAGAAGGGTCCTCAGTAGCAGATCTCAGCCTTCCATCTGCCTTCATCCATCATAGCATGCCCAAGACACACCTCTAGATTTTGACACTAGCTACCCCAAAGTTCAACTTGGAAGTCTCCCAAATAAATGAGAACCTTCTTGCCCATAGGCTGCAAAGCTAAGGGTGTCCAAAGAGGCTCCTGGTATGCAAAGAACAGTGTCCCTTGAAATAACTGTAACACTGCATTAACCTCTGACCCTCAACCACTCCCAGCTCAGTACCAGTTGAATAGGACAAAGCATTTCCAGTTTCCATTGGACTACCTTTTTCCCACCCTACAGTCTCCAACAGTGAAGAACTCAGGAAGAAGAAACATTGGTTTGTGGCTTTTAAAACTTTTATCTTGTAAACTTTGTCCTTACATTTTACTACACTCTATTATTTTTATTTCATTGTCACATTTACTTGATTTTGCTTACATGGATTTGACTACTGCGGCTTTAAGACCTCTTGCACCTTCTTCCCATCTCCCTGATATTCTTCTTCTGGCTGCTGTCTGTTTCTCTTTTTATTAAACAGAGACTTTTCCCATCTTTCACTAT